GAAAGCATAATATGCTAATGATATGTTAAGGCCACTCAACCACTTGCTATGATGTGCACTGACCACCAGGTGGAAGATGCTCTTACCAGAAGGTAAGCTTGCTGCTGGGGACCAGCCAGTCAGGACTGAGTGAGATGGGCTGGACATTCCCTGGAGCCCTCCTGCAGTCCCTCCCTGGCTGGCCAAACTCTTGCTTCCCTGATTGTACACTGGTGGGGTCCCTCGCCCTGGCCTACACCCTCTCGCAATGTGGGACCCCTTGGGAGATGTTGGAGACCCGGTTTTGGCCCGATCCCGCAGGCCAGGCTGAGGGACCCCACTGGTGCATGAATTTGTGCACCAGGCCTTTAGTAATACTCTAAGTCATCATAGGTTGTGATCACCTTGCAATTCCCAGGTGTCCTAGTTGACAAACCAAAGTGTCTGCAGCCCTGGCATTCTCCCACCTCACAGGACACCAGCATCTGCTAAGGCTACGCTGGATTGTGATCGACTTGAGAAAAAACAAGATCACTCCATAATCAAAACAGGAACATTGTCCAAATCACGAAAATGACCAGGCATCCACCTGTTCTGGCTGGAGGAGTGGCTTTTGCTTTCTTACTAATCCTTCATCTGCTCCAGTTGTACCTCTGTCTGGATGAGACTTAGTTAAGACACCCAGTTGTAGAATTACCCCACTTCCTGGCAAAACCCCACAGAGCAAACCTCTGCTTCCTTAAAGCCTCCTGCATACACCTAGTGCAAGCCCTAGGTTCCTTCTAATAGCCTCTTCCTGAAACGTCCCACAGTTCCCCAAGAGTTTGTAATATATATTTCCATAGTCATAAAATGTATGGAATAATACACACAGAATGTTAGCAATGGTTATCCCTGATGAATAATTTTTACCTGTTATAAAATATATTTTTATTCATTTCAGAGAGGAATGGAGAAGGAGAGAGAAAAATAGAAACATTGATGATGAGAGAGAATCATTGATTGGCTGCTTCTTGCAGACCCCACACTGAGATCAAGCCTGCAACCTGGGCATGTGCCCTGACTTGGAATTGAATGGGGGACCTCCTGGTTCATAGGTGGACGCTCAACAACAGAGCTGCATCAGCTGGGCAATTTTTACCTTTTAAATAAAAAACAATATGGATGGAGAGAGAGAGGAGAAGAAAGGAAAAGAAAATAAGAAGAATGAACTGGCAATGATGATGACACTGTCTGGGGTAGTGGCTCTAAACTAAGGGTTGATACTGATTTTATTGGACCATCTTTATTTTCTACAATTAATTTGCATTGCATTTGAACATGAAGAAAAAGTTATTTTTAAATGTGTGAAAATCATGACTTTTCTAAGGAAATTACTCTGACTGTTATTAATTTTTATTTTTGCTATAGCATCTTGTGCCTGACTAAAATTGTATATGAGTCATGGCTGGTTTGAAGACTTCTGATTTTCCAGGTCAGTTGCAGTACAGTGCAATAGGTGTCACTCGCTCCCTGAGAATGGCATATTGCTAATGCTG